TTTGTAACCGTAACACATCTTTAAAAGTGTTAACTCGTACAGGTGGTATAAAAAACGTCGAAACGGAGAGGTCCTCATTTTGTTGTAACCGCCATGCCTTAAACATTAATTCCAGGTATAGTTTTATATCTAGCTTAATTAAATCATAAGTGATAAAAATAAATGTATCTTCCATTAAAAGTGTCAAACAAATAAAACTGTATTTTATATTATGAAACATCTTTAAACGATGATTAAATTAAATTTCCACTTGATGATAACAAAACTACGCTCTATATAGATGAGAATATTCAATTAAGCATGCAGCTCGCTGTGTCAGGCTTAATCCCAAGTCTATACAAACTAATCCAATCTCCATCCAATAGCAGAGGGAAGCCATCCAAGCCACAGTCCAAACTAGTGTAATCCAATCAATTCGGTCGACTGTCAGATGATTGGTAAAAATGGACTCTAAGCTGGCTCAACCCTGCATAAATGGCTCATGGCTGCTAGGTGTCAAAAATGTTACTCATGCATAGGTTACTAAAAATTATGGTTTAATTGCTTTCATAATTAGGATTTTATTGTTAAAAGTTGTTTGAAGACTGTTCATATTTTTACTTAATGTTATAAATCTTTGATGTTCATTAGTCAATTAAAGGGTCTTAATGGAGGTATCGCAGGAATTTTATTACCAGTTTAAGGATCCATAACAAAACTATAATATTAAAATTAGATAAATATTACGTACATTTAATAAAGAACATTTTCCTCAAAACAAAAAAACAATAGGGAAGTCCGATGTAATTACAATTGATTATAAATGTACATAACTAGAAACATGAAACGTTTAACATATAATAGTGCAAAAAGATTGAAACCTGGAATTTATATTCTAAAGTACCGAAACACGATGATTAGATTTGATGAATTTTCTGTACATTTGACGTTTGGAAACTTTAAAAGCCTTTGTAATCTTAGTCCATTCATTACAGGCAATTAGAGGTATAACGAGATAAGATATTCCAGATAGCTTGTTTTATAATTTAATAATTAACCAGGAAAATAAATTTTATATAAAATTAAATCAATTAGCCTAATATGGTATGGAAAAATATTGTTTGGCATTAATTTGAAAGGAACGGTTACAACATTCATGGAAACTGATTAACATTTCTTTTTAGAGTCTTAAATAGGAAGCCATTCCATCTCAATATCAAAACATCCACTAAATAAAATTTAACCAATGAAGGGCATGAATTAAACGTCTTTAATACAGGAAACTTTATAAATAAATAATTATTTAAGAAACAAAATCCATAAATAAGTTTAGGTGCATGCTGTAAACAATTTTCGGTGCGTAACAATTAACACCATTATTGAAATTTAATTGACACGGTAAACCCCAATACTAAAATATCTTCCAACGATCGAACCGGATGACTACTGTATCGATCAGTAAGTAAACCTGATTACTACAGTATAGTACAACCAGCATACCTGCTTATTACAGTATAGCACAAACAGCTCAGGTAATTTCATACCTGATTACTGTAGTATAGCACAACTAGTAAACCTGATTACTACAGTATAGCACAACTAATTTACCAAACCTTTAAACCAAATTTCATCATTATAGTACGACCAGTAAACCGTATTACTACAGTATAGTACAACCAGCATACCTGATTACTACAATATAGTACAACCAGTAAACCTAACACATCCAGCTGCTTCACAATCTGGTCTCCCACATTAACAGAGAACACTGGCGAAAGTTGCTCAAATTAACAGTTTTACTGTCTAGAAAGTGTCCTAGGACACTAGAGTCTAGTGGAATATCATCCAGAAGACATTACAAGCCTTTTTGTCATGCAGTTTATAGGTTCGTTGCCTTAACTGGTATTAACTTGATTTCAATTTGACAACATGAGTTGTAGTTATGATATCTCTAATTTTTGTCTTCACAGTGATAAATATCTAAATAAATAGCTTAATGTGAATATCTTAAAAATGATGACTTGTTTTGTGGTACTTTACTAAAGAGGTGAAAGAAACCTAATGAGAGGATTGTGATACATCCTATCTAAAGGGCAGCTTAAGTGCTATGACAAGCAGTTAGTAAACCTTAAACAGCTGACTGTATGTATTTGTTTTGTTGGAATGTCTCACGACTTAGGTAATTTGTCGAAATTTGTCACAAAATAATGCTTTGCACGAATAGATTCGACAAAGTAGCCTTATAAAGTGAAATCTATGTGAATCATCGGTTAGGCCTACCTGTAATTTTAACTGTTAGGGTAAGAAAATGGTTATCTTGTAAGAGCTGATAAACCAGGCGTTCGTAGTTCGATATCAGCTCCCTGCAATATCTTATTACTGTAGTCTCTACTTACTTTCTCCAGTAACTTACACCTAACGGTATGTACTTCAGTGGCTTCAGATAATCACACGAATAATATTGCAATCGTTCTTTTATTTCAACTCTACTTTAAACCAAGTGTTTGAGATGCTGATTAGTTATAGTGTTCACCTGAAAATCAAAAGGTTGCCGGTTCGATCCTGAGAAAAGCAGTAGCTTTTTGATGGTTAGAAACTGGACCCAGATGTTCCTGATTATTGGTGTTTAAAAAAATGATGCTAACCGATAATACAGCTGATCTTAGCCAATAACAAAGCTACACAGATCATCTCACAACATTCCACACTCATCCTTTACTCATATTTGGGTTAAAATACGCACCTAGGTGGCGTCCTAATCTCATAAGGATAGTGATAAACAGGCATATTAGATATTAGATATTAACCATTGTTTTATGAAGTAAAGATTGTAAACATTACTTTAATTATGAATACAAAATGTGTATTCTACAACAATTCACATTTCGTTTCATGTTTTATTTAATTTGATATGAGTACACGAGCAGTATATGTTTTTTAAAAAATTTAGAACAAAGCATCACTTTTTTGAAGGGATTTAGTTTTACAAGAACGTAAGGGGTTGTAAAAGCTAACTGTTCAATATGTATTTTTCTTTCTGTTGGCGATAGTGTCAAATGCTATAGATTTCTTTTAATCCTTTTCTATTATTGATAATCACTCAATATGACCGAGAATATCAGCTTTGTACTGTATGTGGAAGTATTTTCAAAGAGTATACAAGGGGCTAAAGAAAGAGTGTATTATTGATGTGTAATCTTCGTGGATTAGTTGAATCATGTGAATTGTGAAATTATAAAGCAGAACTATACATGACTAGTTTGTTCTCAGAGTCAATAATTCCAAACTAACTTCAATTACATTAACCACTTAGTAGCTACTTAAAAAGATCGGAATCGTCTGAATCAAAATGTTATATGTTACTTGTAGCTAATAAAATTAAAGCTATCCAATGCTTACATTACAGATAAATTATAGCTAAAAGAAAAATCTGAATTAAGAAAAACTTTGGCTATCGTTAGGTGTATTGTTATTTTCAATTTAATTCTATTTTCTTAAGTAACAATCGTATAATTCAACTAACACAAGTACAATTGAACACCAAAGTTAAATTGGAATGATAAAAGTAAATATTTCTTTGAAGTCAAATCATGAAAGAGCACGGATAATAAAAAGCCTTCAAAATCGCTTTGTCCAAAACAAAGTAGGATAAAAAAGCGGCACTAAATTGCTTCCCTGAACAACCTCTCTGTCTGATTCCCTCCCTCTTCCCTCTCTCCTTCCTCAAACCTCTCTGTTTTGTCTGCTAGATACGCTTTTATATCAATGCTGTTTGTTGCTTAATATATTTAGATTTAATTTATGCAAGTTTCTTATAAATCTATTCATTGGAGAAACCTCTACTGGTACTCATTGAATAAATCCTCTTTTTATCATTTAAGTTTCTACCCTAATTATTATTTAGTTGCTAGTAATATTATTTTATTACTTCAATAGCAAGGAGTATGATTTCGTCGAATGTGGTGAAAATAAATTCCTTATACAAGATGTACCTAAACGGTCGATGGATCAAATATAGTAAATACGATTATAAATTCGCCAAAAGAGCACGTCTAAGTATTTCGGTAAATAAAATATAGAGGGAGTTTTGCTACTCACTAGCCTACCTAGAAATGTTCAATAATAATAATAATAATAATTTCCCTCGATAACATTACTTAAAGTATTGGTCTAATAACAACAACCTTTGTAATTTTGGCTAAATGTTATTTGCTACCTTCATGATCTGTTTTGGCAGCACTAGAATAGAAACCGATGGATCTAGTCACTTAATAGGCATTCGATATTCTGAAATTGATGCAACTTTACACAATCAAATACCAAGAATTTTGGCTATATTGTGAAGTAAAATGCCTTATCTTACTTTATAAAACATAAATAAAAATAATTTACCGTCTTAGTAATCAAAGATTAAATAAACACAACTAACTGGATCTTTATAGATTGACTACTAATTTATATCTTTTCATATCTACACCAAATAAGGGTCCTTACTTGTGGCATTCATTCTACTACCTGTTCACTAGTTTTTAAATATTTGTATATTGAAGTTAATTCATAAATAGGAGCAAATAAAATATTTTTTTTTGTGATTCGGGATCCAGATGTTTCAAAAGTGAGGTTGGAATCTTAAACACATTTTTATGCGTAAATTATGAAAACACCTTAGTTCTTGTGACTTAATCAACAACAATTTTACACTGCTACAGCAGTTTTTACAGTTTTACAATTTTTCAACAGAATTACGGCTATATTTGTCACATAAGTATACTTTAAGGGAGAACTTGGATTTTTTAAGAATATATGCTCCAGTTTATAAAACCCCTTAAGTGTTCACCTGCAATAGGAGTGTACCAAACTGCTTTTATGATGATTTATTTTTAATTCCTAACCAAAACATTTTTGTCAGAGTATACTGGTCGTTCAACTGTGTGGAGTGTCAAAATATCTAGCATTAATTATATGCTTTATATTAAACTATATCAAATACAATAAATTACTATACTTTTAATTTGTTTCAGCATCCACCAAAGTACGAGTTCGGTTACGACCTCAAGGACGGTTATGGCGGTTCTCAAGGTCATTTGGAGACAAGGGATGGAGAATTTGCACTGGGGAAATACTACGTCAACCTTCCCAACAACGAACAGAAGGTAGGCGATCAATTTATCAAACTGAGTTTTTACCAATATTATAAAACACCCCAAAAACTTACAGCTATTAGCTTTTTAAACGATTCATTGAAATTTCACTGGAGCTTAAATTTTGTCACATGAGACACGTCAATCTTACATGGAGGATTTCCTCTTGGCGAATAGTTATTTGAATTGTTGCCATTTATTTCAGGGGTTTTTACTTCTCTGTGGTAGCTAATAGAGTCGAAGAGGTTCAATGTACAGGTTCCCTAAGCTACGAGTCATTGACTTTAACCTGTGAGACTTTCCGGTTTGGTTAGATTAACCAAACTTTTACTGCTGCTGGGATACTGAGGTGCACATTGTTTAGTATGTTTTTAATGCCATTTTACAATTTACTCAGTAAAGATACAATACAACTCATTAACGGCATAGGCTATGTGTAAAGCTATCGGTTATTGAGTTTTTAATATCGCGAGAATAATACATTTCTATGGATCTTTCGTAGGTACTTTGTAAACTCAAACAAACGGGTAATGTGATGTAAAGTAATTTACAAATACCCATATTACTTTTCCGTAGCGTTATTTCACTGTTATTTGATCACGGAATGACCAGTATGTCCATGCTATTGGAAGGCAAACTCTTATTTTGTATATCTATATAATTAATACGCTACATGAAACTTTGTCGGTTGAACTCCTCCGTCATTTCTTAACCGATTTTATCCATTGACGTCTCATTGGAAAGAGCGTGTCGCGTAGATTTGCAAACTGGCCTTACATTTTTGAAAAAGTCCCTTGCGCTCTGCCCCAGTGGCTTTGAAAGTTCCCATGTTATCCTTATGAAGAACATAATTGTTTACATTTTGATCAGCTGTATAATTTAATTGCTGTTATTTATTTTCCAATTCAATGAAACGCATTGAGTACATTTATTTACTATTTGAGTTTGTGTAAACATCACCCTCAAGACGGATCGTGTTAGTATGGTTGTATATTAAATTTGTGCATTTATCGTTGTTTTGTGTAGCTATAATTAGTTTATTTGTTGTTTTTTCTTTCTTTTAAATGCCTCCGACGCGACGAACCATATACAGGAAGCGTAATCGTGATAACGACCGCAGCTACAGAACAGTGGCGCGTAATAGAAAGGCTTAAATGGCTTAACTCATCACTACAGTCAGCACCTGACCCTGGACAACCTCAACTATTAGGTTACAAATGCGCCCTAACACTACCCCAAAACGACTTTTCGTTCTCAATTGGCCCTATATCAATGACCTGTGTTGCCTGTACAGCGAGGCATTTTGAGAAGGAGAAAACCGGCCGGAATGCTTTAGGTTTATCAATAACGAAGATAAACATGGTCTGAGTTACACACCGGTAATCTTTGAGTTGACTCTTTTAAACTCATTGTAAATATGACTGTTATTCGTTTTGAAATAACTCCTGTAATACTTTTCAATTACTCGAATTCGAGCAATATGTACACTAGTATATTAATATTAAAACAACTTTGCATTGAGAAAATCTCGTACACACATATCACAGTGTCTTAGTATTGGGTTTCCACATATTTTTCCACTAGTAACTGCCACATGTTTCCAGGTGGACTACTTCGCCGATGACTGGGGCTTCCACCCTCTGGTGGCGTACAAGACTTCCTCTGGAACGTCTTCCATGTCTACACAGTTCGCTCTAGGAGAGAAGGCAGTGGCTGCTCTCTCCAGACAGTACGGAGTTGTGAGTAAAACAATGTAATAGAGTGAATAAGCAACGTAATTGGATAAGGACCTTAAGAAATGTAAGTGACCCTAGCTAAGGTTATGTATATCTTATATAGGGTGGAAGGATTACACTAGGATTATACCTTGAATTCTTTTTACTGACTTATGGCATCTATAGCAATTTGGAAGACGTTTAAGATTTCCAGTTGTACAAGGCTAGTTGTGGAAGAATAGAACAATTACTATTCCAAACCATAGTATTGTGTTGGAGTGAGCTGGTCTAAAGGTAAAGGTCGGGGCTTCGGAGCCCTTCAGATATTGATGCGTCCTGGGTTCAAATTCTGCCAATCACCATTAGTTTTTATCCCGTTGAATCCCGCGACCCACTAGAACTGGCTTGATGTGTAAAGCAGTTCCTCACTAGTACCGAGTGCCTTTAAGGGATTGGAGGGTCGGACGTATGAAAAGTTAGTATTGCGACATACAACATAATGCTGTCAACAGTAGCATGCTGTGATATTTTTTCAGTCATTGAAATTATTTAAAATCCAATGATATGTTGTCTTAGAAAAATATACTGCAGCTTTGATTGAGGTTTGAAAAATGAAATAACAACTACGTGATAGAATATGTAAAGCTTAGGTCGATTGTACACTTTAAAATTCTTTAACAGCGAATGTGATTAGGACATTCACACTAATGGACATCCCTATACTGAAGAGGGTTAAGTTCGTAAAACATACAATATATTCATCCAAGGCTCATGTTTACAATAGTGATATTGTTTCAGGCACCCCCACTGGAGATACTAAAGACCAAAGTCGCCAACTCCATAGTCGCTGGAGGACCTCAGGTGTTGGTCCAGGGAAGTTCCGGGCTGATACCCGGGCCTTCAGATGAGCCGGTCCACAACTCTCTAGAAGCAGAGTCTTACTCAACCACGTCTGCACCTCCTAGCGAACATTACTCTGTGACTCCGAGCTCGCAGATCTATCAAAGCACCCCTTCAGTGTCTGCGCAGCATGTATCAGGGGGAGTGGAAGTATCAACGGTATCTCCGGCTCAAGCAGCATACTCTGGAGTTTCAAGTACCCAGTACGAGTCTAATCAAGAAGGATTTTACAGAGGCAATTTCGAATCGCAGAAACAAGCATCAATATCTGGTTCACAATATTCTGGATATTCCTCAACTGAAAACTCCCCTGTTCCCAGTTCAGGGTTTGGAAATTCAGAAAGCGAATACCAGTCACAAAGTCAAAGCTATGAAACTGCGTCAGGATCAGCGGGGTATTCCACACCATCTCCAAGTTCTTCAGGGCTTAGCTATTCTAGTCCAACAGTTTCGTCTCAAGGATATCACGAGTCGTCGACTGTTGCGAATGAACATTCCGATCATCAAGTGACCTCCTATCTTGCAGACACGAACTCCGCTATAGATGTGACTAACACAGGATTAACCCAGGTGCTGCCAGGAGTGAGAGACTATTCTCCCAATACAAGGATATCTGCAGTTCTTGTCGGCGAAGGTGAGAGCCACTATGAAGATAATGAAATACGGCAGGAATATGTGTCATCTACTACTCCTAGTCCTCCCAAGTCTTTTAAACCCATTGTCGTTAGTGACACTGGTTTGAATCCATCTACTCTTGCTATATTCCACTCAAACGTAGCCTCGTCGACTGAGAGGTATCGCTCAGGAAAGATAGGTAAACTCTACCATAGAGAGGGAACAGTTGATTCTGGCTACAGCACACACCAACCAGAGGTTACTTCAAACTCTCTCCCGTCTGTTGGTTATGATTACCAGTCGACTCCAGCCCCAACACCAGAGCCGGTGCTCGTCACACCTAGAGTGCACCCAGCATTGCTTACTTCATCTGGTAACATTCTAGCCCCTATTAGAGCAGGAGTGTCAATATCAAATGGCCACGACGAGGAGGATTGTGACGAAAAGCCGGTCAAAGAAGACGAATCGAGTGAACCAGTAATTGAAAAACAAGAAGTAAGGGAGGAGGCTCACTACAAAACTACAGTCGACATCCAAAAGTCAATCCCGTTTGAAATTCATCCTAATGAAGAAGTATCCCAGGAGTATAGCTATGAAACGAAGGGTCACACATCACAAACTGGGTTTGAAGGTGTTAAGGAAGACTATCACACGGAATCTACAGCAGAGGTTACAGACGGAGATTACAAAAAGTATTCAAATGAGGGGTATTCACAACAACAAAACCCAGGGGATGTAGTTGCAAATGGGCATACCGGACAAACGGATTACCTGTCACAAGAAAATAATGGTGCAAGTTACCAACAACAACAAGAGTACCATCATCAAGAATCAGGAGATAGACAAGTGCCTGTAGCATACAACCAGAATCAGTACAACCAGAACTTCTTGCAACAAGTAGCATATGCATATCACCGTTTGGCCAACAGTCATGCGCAACAAGAAGCCCAAAATAATCCAAGCTACTCAGTAAACGCCCCTGCATACAACCAACCTGTGTATGTACCTAACAGACTTTACTATGTTTACCTCCAAAGGTATAACCCTTACGTAAACCGGTATGGTAGTCAAAGTCCAACATATGGGAATTATCAGGGTACAACCTCTCCAGGAGCACAGTACACTACAGCTGGCTATAATTATGGTCAAGAGGGTTTAAGCCATGGCTCAGGTGGGAATGGACAAGCGTATGCTCAGGAATATAAAGGTCAGGATAGCTATAATTCACAAGAACAAGTAGGGTACTCTTCATATGTAAACCACGAATCTGCAGGTGTTGGTGTGGCAAGCTCATACTCTCAACATAATTCAGACGAATCAAAATATAATTCAAAGGTTCCTTCAAATGAGAATTCGAATGGAGTTGAACATTTTCAGTCACTATCACCAACGCCATATTCAGTAACGAGCAGTTACGAATCTTCCAACCAAGCATCTCAGGAATACGCATCGCAATTAAATGCAGTTAATTCTGCCCAAGGAGTGTCTGTACACCCTGATAACCAGCATGTTCAGTATTTATCCACTAGTCATGGAGCAGAGAGTGCAGCTTTGACTCAGGAAAACTACAACGAAGAACAGTCAATTCAACATGAAAACGGCAATGAACGTCATCAGGACAAATACGCCGAAGAAGCTAGCAATGAAGTGCATCACAACGCGAACGTCCTGATTAAAGAGGTTCCCGTTCCTCAGTATATAGAGAAAACAAAATACGTAGAAATTGAAAAACCCATCCACATCCCTCATCCATACCCGGTAGAGTACACAAAAGTAGTCGAAAAGCCCGTACCTGTTCCCCATCCGGTACCTGTTCCTCAAACTCAAATTGTTGAAAAACACGTCCCCGTTCCCCAACCTGTTCCAGTCGAGGTGACAAGAGTTGTTGAGAAGCACGTTCCCGTTCCACACCCAGTTCCTGTGGAGTACACCAAAGTTGTAGCTGTTGAGAAGCCGGTACCTGTTCCACAACCTGTGCCGTACGCCGTGACGAAGCTGGTGGCCGTTGACAGACCTGTTGCTTACCCACACCCGGTACCGGTTCCCTACGCGGTACCGCATCCAGTAGGGGTGCCTGTGCCGCATCTGGTACCGTACCCACATGTGGTTCCAGTTCCTGTCAAGGATTACCGTCCGGTGTACATCTACAGGAAATCTACCGGAGGACGTCTTCTGCATAGAGAGTTCCCTCACGCGAAATATGGAAAATCCTCCCCAGCTTTCAGGCCTAGTCAGCCTGTGTTTAACTCTCAGTACCCTCCGCCCTCCTACCACGTCACTACCTACTTCAAATCACCCCATGGGAAATCTAGAGGCCAACCAAGGAAACTCTGTATCGAATACGGAGGGTTTAAACCACCCCTAATACCTTCAGTGCAAGTTGATGAAGATCCCAAAACAACCTATGGACCAGCCGAGCAGAAACACTAAGTCACAATACACAGATGTACATAATCATTTAATGTAATATTTTGTAAATAACGATTAGTACCTAAGGTAAATATTTATGTAAATTTTCGTTTGAAATTGGTGAAATCAAAAATGAAATGATGATGGTGAAATCCTTAAAATTACTTATATCAAAAAATAATACTAGGCTAGATTATAAAATCTTCCTTTGTAAAATATTTTGGCCAAAAAGATTTAGCGTTAGATAATTTTCCCAAAGATCTAAAAAATGTACTGTTGTTGAAAGTTGTTTTTGAAGAAAGCATTAGTGATCGTAATTGTCTTTATGTTCTGCTCAACTAACTGTAGTTTTTAAACACTATGTAAATAATATGAATAGCCTATTAGGTAGTTTTTTTTATTTCTTATATAAATCTTACTCGTATGTTTCATGCTTATCTTAAATAAGGAGGTTGATTTTTCGTCTAAATTAAATACTGGACCAGGATATGAAAAACCCACTGTAACTACAATTTAGGGCATTCGTAATAAATTATTGATTAAACTAGATAGGATATAGACACCAAAACGTTTTGGCACCCAAAAAAAACTATATTTTAGATATTATAAATCAAATTAATTCTTAATGCTTACCCCCATTCCTAACATTTTATACATTATATGTATAGGAGCTTTTCAATTGTTGATTGGATTTACACTATAAAGTTATGTTGCCATAATTACACTTGTAAAGAACCTAGAATAAATTATAGTTTGTAGTTTTGTTACTATTGTGATGTTAACCTTAGTCAATAAAGCTTACTGTTTTGTTTTGCGTGTTTAATATTTATTTCCTTTACATCTTAAGTTAGAATTTCTTAGTAACCCATGTTTAAACATATTTATAGTACTTTTACTTAGCGTAGATGTCATAGAACAAACGTTTTAAAACTAAACCTTAACGGCAAAACTATATTGTTAGCAGGTATATAAAAAAATGACTCTTTAAATGAGAATTCAGTGTTCTCTTTTAATTAAAAACTCATATCAAGAATAATCTATGCCATCAAAACTTTATAATACAGCAAATATTTTAAAACGTGTTTCGCGTATTATGGTGGATATTTATTCAACATAGTACGTTAGCTATCAAAAAAAAAAACTTTTATCTATACAACCGAAATACAGTTTCAAAACGTTTTTTACTATCTTATAGTAAAAATACAACAGCAAACTTTATATCTCGATATATTTTATTGAGGAATACAAATTATACAACTTTTTTAATAATAATCTAATAAATAATATTACACTTATTATATTTTTAAAATGTTAAGCTAATTATGGAATAAAATATATCAAATGTTCCTTTTCATGCACCTTGTGTAAGTTAAATGTTTTCAAAGTTTGTTTAAAATACTAACTTTCATTTAACAAAAATTAATACATTTAATTAAATAAAAAACATTTATATAGGACTAACTGTATATAGAAATAAATAAAATTTAAAAACTGGCTCTTTGAAGGAAGAATACATTATTAACTATACAGTATTTATTCACATTCTCAGTTTCAAACATTATGGAACGCCCTGTATTTTTAAACGCTACTTGGTAGCACAACTGCTAAGCGTAAGTAACAGCAAACATGAAGGCGCTACAGTCTGGTCACATGTAGAAATAATAAACGAAGTCAAACGATACTTAGGGCCACAAGTATACGTTTACTAAATAAATAACCTTAAATAATATACGCAAATATTGGTACTGTCTATCACTACCTATTTATTAAGTTTAAAATCAAGAGCTTTAGGTGTTAAAAAGTTATGAATATATTTGGAAAAAATCCCATACAGACATAGTAAAAAACCAGATAGTAACCAGATAGTAACCAGATAGTAAAAAACAAGATACCAGGAATGTCGGATCCATGTTTATATGGTGTTTTTACATTGTTTAGACCCAAGGAACAAATGTATTAAAGGTTCCCAGAGAGTTTGCTTATGCCCTGTATTTAAAAACCGTGTTAAATTATTTATGGCCGTACGATTAATGCTGTTTCAATTATTGTAAGCCAAATAAATTAAACGACTGAGTTTTTGTATAGAAAATACTGTAGATACAAAATACAACACGTATCTATAAAGTGTCTACATCTGTTGTATAAATTGAAGCTGTTTCGTGGTATTTGGACGAATTAAATTGGTTTACATTTAAACTTGCCTGTTTCAATTTGTTGAAATGACCACAAACTACAGACATTTGTTTAGCTAGAACTACCGGTAATGACTTACTCTGCGTTGTTATATAAACATACGGTACTGTCATTGAAATTCTGTGTTTGAATATTAGCGAATTTCCCTATAACTTCCCTATAGGGAAATTCGCTAATATTCAAACACAGAATTTCAATGACAGTACCGTATGTTATTACCGTAGGTCTTATGGTAAGACTTAGGCCCGGGACCTATTTACTTTTTCATTTTGACGTCCCCAGAGGCCAAAAACACCATTCGTTCAAATATTTGTCTCTAAACCTTCTTAAAGAGCTTAAAAAACAAACAATTCAGTATATCAAAGTGTTTTTGTACGGTTATTGGTTACGGAGAAAACTAAAAAAATTGTAAATTTAAAATTACCATGTTATTCTTATGGAGAATATTGTAAAATGTTGTAGTTTGCTTGTTTATGGATATATTTTGATCAAACTTGGCAAATTTATTTATTTTATAGTAAGCTATCAATATTTTACTAAAAACACACTTTATTAGTTTCCTTGCAGCAGCAAACCTAGGTACTCGTTAAACCTAATGTTATGAAATAGATCAATTGAAAATCAATTCAGCCAAATGGAAATTCGCTTAGACGGCAAGTTTGCTGCGGCGGGGGTATTTTTTATTAAATGTGATTTTAAATTCTTACATATATGATCCGGTATATTTACATTATACCTAACTGTAAAACATTATAACATAGGTACATACATTAAATGGAAATACATTATCAAAGTTCTAAAATATTTAATAATGTATCACTTATTCATGGTTAACTGGGTTTTGAGGTATTTTTATTAATAGGATGATAAATGCTATTGCATGAGTAAAAGTGAATTCAGCTAATATAAAATAGTTTGCTGCCTATATGTATTGATAAAAAACTATCCCTACTTTCAAGAACCATTTACTCACATTTTTGTGTTCCGCAAGAAATCGGCACAAATATACAAAGAAAAATGTTCTATCAAAACTAATCTTTTTGTTTGCAAGGAATCCAAGCCTAGTTCCTAACTATTTACCAGTGTGGTTAAAGTTTAATTTAATTAAATACTACGTAGACAACAAAACTATAATACTTAATACAGTTTAACTATTTTAAAATATGTTACTATAGAGACTCATATACAAGTGAAGAAATTGTATGTTTTTAAAGAAAACATTTATGTTCAGAGACACACAATTAAAGTTTCAAGTATTGATATGCGTTGTAGTGCTAGAGTTATGATTGCTCAATAGAGATGCTCTTTGCGAAGCCAACCGACTGTTGAAAGCCTTTTAGTGGAATAATGTGCCGATATTGTCAAATGATAACAAGCTGTGCCAACTTCAAGTGAATCGAGATTTTTCACGTTTATAAATGTTATTTGTCTTACGTAAAATATGTTCTAACCCTTAATGTTTATGTAACAATTACTTTTCAACTGTTTCAATTGCTTGTTAGATAGATAGAAAAAATAAAAACTAGCTGTGCGTTGAATGTATCCAGCAATTAAGGGGTGAGCTTGTAAAGTACAAGGATGATGTCTACTGATAAACAGTTAGTAGTGGTAGGGTAGGTGCCACAATCCGAGCCCACAACCATAGATTAAAGGAGTTTTTTTATCCTAGGACGCTAGGCATGAGCCCGGGATTGCTTTGCACATTACTTCAGGCTACACCTAGAGGTTGCTGTATTATCACTCTGATAGAATCCATTGGTGATTGGGCGGATTTGAATCCAGGACATCTTGAACTAAGTCCTGCGCTCTAGGGGTTATATTATCTGTGGCTCTAGTCACTAGACCAGCTCGCTCCCCCAGACATGTCTACTCCTTAAATCTATGCCACGACATCACTGCCTTGTGCCTGAAGTCCGTTGTGCTTCCGCCTGAGCCACCGATTCACCTAAAATAATAGGACTTAGGTCTGTAAGATTAAAAGTTTTTTTTCAGTACAGTCTGTTAACAATCGGAAAGTTCAAGCACAAAAATTCTTTATTAGTGTCATAGATTACGATAAAAAACTTTAGGTTGTTTTCTTTAATTTGGAATACTTTCTTCCTTAAAACTACCAACAAATGTTTAAATAATTAGTACCAAATCCTGATTTAGGCTTTAGTAAAAGCAAGTCCTTTTGTATACACCTAACACTAAATGTCAGCAAAATGTATGGTTCAAATCCAGAATCAACCATCGATAAACATATCATTGTATGTTAAAATAGAAAATATAAACTTCGAACGGATAACGTCATTAAAATATTTAAGCCTTCTTGTAGTGGTTTTAATACTGATTTAGTCTTGGGAGCTGGAAACCCGTACTACATTTATTAAAACGAATGAATTCTTGCGTTGCGCGTAGGACTATCGTTGATTGATATGCTCATCCAAAAGATTACAAAGGAAAATTAAGTTTGGCTCTTAATAATCTCTTTAAACTGATCCTTAATAGGTGTATGTTGACTAGGGATAAATAATCGTATCATGATTTATATAAAACATTTCAAAATACTCCTTAATTAATTAAAATACTAGTTATAATGCTCCATAAAAACCTTACAAAATTATTGCTGGAAATGTTGAAATATTCATGAAATAAAACGATAATAGTATGCTTGTAAAATAAATTTCAAACAAAATTGTCAAGGTGATGTATACAGTGCTCTAGAAAAACCGATAATAGTTGTAACGACCCAAAATCCGTCAAGGGGTAAAAACCCGATTTTTAAAAGTTTCATTTTAAGTATTATAATTTTCTACGTTCGGCCGCGCCCGCGTTGTCAGTCAGCG